TCTGAATGTTCATTTATGAAGATTATATTTACCATTTCAGCAACTCTATGTCTTATTTGCTCTGCTTGCTTTAGCAAACATTCCCCTTGTTCCTCATCTTCAGTGCTTAACAAGATATACGTAGCAATATCCTCCATTTCTTCTGCTTTTTGCTTTTCAAAGTTGGCTTGTAGCTCAAGTTCATTTGCTTCTTCAAGTTCTTTTACATAATTTTTGAAATCCTCATTACCATGCTGTTAGATTTGATAAAGATACTATTGAACAAARATACTTCCTGAAAATTATTTCTAATATATACAAAACTATTTCAAAAATGATTGTCAGTTGAAGATCTGAATTAGAGAGCAACTTTGGGGCATCATTATTGTATATTTATTATAATAAATTATTGCTTGACATGAAACCTTCTTATTTTCCAGCCAATGAATATGCAATCTTTACATCCAGTATATTCATAGATTGCTCTAACAGTAAGAAAAGTCGGTTGAAAATTCCAATGCTCACATGTAAAGYTGGTGGACACACCTTCAAGAGAAATAAAGTAATTCAGGTAATGAACTACCTATTAGTTAAAAAAGTAAAATTTCGATGCATATACCTGATCAAGAGGGATTTTAAACATAGGCTGTCTTATAGCATTGTTGTACTGCTTGGCCTTCTTAAGAATGGACCCTCCTGCTCGAAATTTGCTGTTGTCATCAATAATCCCTTGAAAGATAAATATTTTATTTTTGATGCATAGATTGTTGCCCAATCAACCAATTTAGTGTATTATGATTCAAACACTCACACACATGCACAATAATAAAATGTGCTTTTTATGTATTATCACRATTTTTTCTTTTATAATGTTGACACTCTACAACCTGTGGGCTGGGACCACCCAAACAAAGTGTTTAGTATTATTAAATCTTAAATCATATACAAGCAGCCATTATGATTAGTTTTGTTATCTTGGCCAAGGGTTATTGATACCAACAAAATTGTAAAAATTGTCTCTTGTTCAGGAGAGGTTTTTCCCCCAAAATGTACTCTTATTACTTGGTTTTGTTCATGTGGTTCTGGTTAGTATGTCTACATTGTGATAATTTTCAGTACCTTGTAAAGTTCTTGGACTTTTAAGACCCCTCTCGCTCAAAGGAATGGAGATCTCATCCTGTGTTATCAAACACCAGAGACAAAAGTGCTTTCCTATAATTGAATTGGAAAATTAGTTTACCAACATTTTCTTTGCAATTATGATATTTTAGAGTACAGTGGGATGTGGAGGTTA